AATATACCCTTTTTCCAGGAATCCTCCTTTCATAGGAGGAATGAAATCCATTATTCTGTGTTCACAATACTTAATTAAATCTAGAATACCATGCTTAATTGGTATAGGATAAGAGTAAACATTTTAAAGATCATCAACCACAATAACATTTAAGATAATTGGCAACAGTTATGATTTGTTGATTACCTAATATGTACAAGGCTATGTGTTAGGTAATAAAGACACTACAAAACTCAGAAGTCCCTGCCCTCTGAGAGCCTGTGATGATTTCCAGCGAAGCAGGCAAAATACACAGAAAATAATAGTAAGAATTCTAGTTTTTATATTTTAGGGCAACAATTCTTAATCCTGGTAGCACATTAGGACTACCTGGGAAGCTTTAAAAAAAAAAAAAAATACCAATGTTGTGGCCCTACTCCAAACCAATTAAATCAGAATTTTTGGAGTAGGGCCAGGATATGCAAATTAAATTACAGAGCTGGAAATCAGATGCTATTAAAATGTAAATTTTATATATTTTTTTTTCATATATTCTGTACTTCATTTCCCAGTTTTTATTTGAGAGACTTTCCAAGCATTATATTTAGCATATAGATTTTCAATTTAAACAATCTATTCTAGATTTCTTTAATTATAAAATTAGATATAAACCATATATTTTGTTATATAAACAGCAAATGTTATAATAAATTTTCATTTTATTTTTTGCCACCTATAAATAAACAAAATAAATTTGTCTCTTATCCTCCAACAAATATTTCAGCATCTTTTAGCAAAGAAAAAAGTTTCTTTTTTACAGAAAATTAATTATATCATCTCTACAGCAAGTACATTTAAACAGTTCATCGCTAAACATTTTAGCTGTTCACTAGCATGTGCTTATATAACTTGTAAAGATTATAAATATTTAAATCTCTTCTAAATTATACTATGCAATGGAAACAACAACAGACCTTATTTGGAGGCTGACCATGGAAGTGTTAGCATCCTGGCATCTCTAGTCCCCTCGGACAGCAGCTTGGAAAATTCTGGTCAAAAATCATGCAAACAGTAGTGATACAGTTAGCAAGAAAAAGCTTATTCAGTGATGATATAAATAGTGATGTGGCACAATTGTCTGTTAAACTGAAAAAAAGGATTTTTAATATTCAGGTTGTACTATATTTTTTTACCACAAGAGGTCCCTAAATCCTCTTTAGTGTATCAGGCCATTTGATGTGCATATCAGACTGTTGCAACACTTTGGTATTATTTCTGTCACTCTACATTAACCAGTTTTCTAACATAGGAGGCTGAACTTTTATTCTTTACAATCAGCTTTTTAAAAGAATTTCCTTTAAATCTCCTCTGGACCTAGAAAATACCAGCATCGAAGGATCTAAGAGTGGTGGAAAAACCAGGAAAATAGGTTACATAAAGTGGCAGTGAAATAGAATTCCTTTAGAGGTTAAGTGAAAACACAGGCTTCTTTGTGAGTTAAGAACAAACAATACCACTCCTTTCCATCTTAGGTCTAAATTCCATTTTGTTCAATCAGTGTTAATTAGTATCATAATTAAACATGACTTTTCATAGGCTGCCTTAATTGTACATGAATGATATTATTTTTGTCACTTCAGTTTGGCTCTCTGGTACTAATCAAACTCTTGCCTTGAATGTAGGGAAATATAAATGTTCCTGTGTCTGCTCCTGTACTAATTTAGGTATTCATATGTTGAATACTTGCTCCATGCCAAGCAGAAAGATATATTTCTTGCCTTTAGAAGTTTATAGTTTCTTTGGGGATATAATGTAATAGACAGTTATAATCCATTGTGTATGTTTAACATAACTCTTATTTGATTTAATACCTTGACTTATTTCAATAAAAAGATGTTTCTATTTGTATAATTATGTCTCCTATTCCTTAAATAAGTGGAGGTTACAAGGGGGCAAAAATATTTTCTCCGTGGCAGCCAGTGATCTTTTGTAGTAAGAGCAACTCATTATCTACCACTGGGTATGTGTTTGTACAGGGCTTGTCTTTTTTAGTTTGTCCATTTCAGTCTGGCTTATGAACAAACCAAGGACATCTCCATTATGACTTCAGAGAATAATTTTATCTGATTAAATTATTATATTTGTACTCTTTTCAATCAGACATTACTAATTAAGAGATAGTAATGAAATTAACCTAGGTAAGAAATTTAAAATATTGTATTTAAATGCATACGTCTTATATTTTTATTCCTTTGGAAATGTTAACAGCAGCTTTTTAATAGTAATTTATATTTTGATCACTAGATGGCACTAAGCACATATAGCTAAGAGAAAATAACTTTCTCTCAAGTTTTCTGAAAACAAGCCTGTTTTCAGCATTACACACGATAAATTTTTTTGTTATGTAACCCATAAAATTCTTCTTGCTACAAAAGCTTTGTTTTACTAAGTGAGATAATCTCACCTCTGACCCCCTTAGGTATAGTAAGTTCCGAGAGAGACACAGCCTCTGAAATCAGCAGTCATCCACTCATCAAACTTTTCTGTTCTTGGCCATTTGCATTTATTATTATCATCTGTTTCTTAAACTGGCCTTTTCTTACTAGTACTTCCTCTTCCCTGGAAAACAGAGAATATATTTTAATTTTTTAAAGGAGTATTATATAGCCTCTGGTATGTTAAAAAGAGATCCTAGAGATTCACACACAAAAGTTCCTGTAGGGCAAAATATAAAAAGAGCAAAAACTTTGTTTTTGTTTTTGGTCTTCTAAATATTCTCATATTGCAACATATTCTTTCTTTTGTTATTTTTGGTCTGGTTATGATATTCATGAAATACATTTTCTGAATCACGATGCTTTAGGTTGCAAATAATAAATATCCTTAATGTTTAAGCTATTATTAAAATGAGTTATTTTGCACAACTAGAAGTTGTCCAGAAGTTGAACAGTACTTCCAGTGGTGGTTAGAGTTCGTCAGTGACTTAATCAGAAATCCAATGGTGGCCAGGCACAGTGGCTCACGCCTGTGATCACAGCACTTTTAAGAGGCCTGAGGTGGGAGGATCACTTGAGCCCAGGAGTTCAAGGCTGCAGTAAGTCATGATTGTGCCACAGTGCACTCCAGTCTGGGCAACAGAGCGAGACCCTGTCTCAAAAACAGAAACAAAAGCAGAAACCCAGTGATATCATCAGGGACCCAGATTTGTTTCCTTTCATATGTCCACTCCGCTCTCTCTGATATATCAGACTTGTGCTTTGTGTTGATGATAACCACTGCAGTTCTACATAGAATTTATAATAATGGTAAAGTCCAGTAGTAGAAGTGGGGATATTTCCCCCTTTATAGGTTTCTTTTTATCGGTGGTATATATTACTTCAGGATCCTGCAGCAGAGTTCTCTTCAGGTCTCATTTGCCATGCCTGGGTCCCCAGCACTTCCTAAACAATTCAATGACAGGAGAAGGGAGTAACTGTGATAGGTGTAGACTGATAGAGACCCTTGCCCTTGCTAGCATCACAGACCCCCTCAGAGGAAGATGAAACCAGAGCACTCCCCAGCAAAGAGGGAGATGGATGTGGGGAGGCAGACCACAACATTTGCTACCATTTTTGTTTTTATTTGTTCGTTTTGTTGCACTAAAGACTCTTCTTCCTGGCCGGGCACTGGCTCACGCCTGTAATTCCCGCACTTTGGGAGCGCAAGGCAGGCAGATTGTGAGGTCAAGAGATCAAGACCATCCTGGTAAACATGGTGAAACCCCGTCTCTACTAAAAATACAGAAGTTAGCTGGGCATGGTGGCGCCTGTAGTCCTAACTACTCAGGAGGCTGAGGCAGGAGAATCGCTTGAACCCGGGAGGCGGAGGTTGCAGTTAGCCAGAGATCACACCACTGCACTACAGCTTGGTGACAGAGTGAGGCTCCGTCTCAAAAAAAAAAAAAAAAAAACGACTCTTCTTCCTGATGTGCTGATGCTCTTGAAATATAACTTTCAAGTATTTTAAGTGTATCACACTGGACAGAGTCACAGATGTATCCCATATCTAGCTACTGCAGACTCTATCATTCAGTATAAGCTAATGTTTAAGCTATTTTTTTTTATTGTCTATGCATGTGTCCTTTTTGTAACAATTAGAGAAAGTAAAATCTTGGATTATTTTTATCTGCTTATTAGTTCTATCATGCTCTGAGAGCAATATTTCTAAAAGGTGTTATGAATCTAGTAGCATTTCAACGAAATCTGCAATTGCCTGCTGAGTACCCACAACTTTAAAAGCACTGGGTCAAGCACTATGGGTAAGTCTGGCCAAGACATCTGGAAACACTGCCACCATCTGCCCTGGAGCTCAGCCAGACCCCATGGACACTCTAAAGGGGCAGAGTAAGCAGTCCCACTTCAGTGATGCGAGTCATTCAATGTTCCCTGTCAACTACAGTGCCTTTTGGCCTGTTCTGGCCTATTTTACACCAATTTTTCCATTTGATATCTCAGCACTTCTCAGAGGCTATAGAATGGCTCCCCTAGTATAGGTTCCATCTGAAATAGCAAACTGTGACTCTGAGGAACTCATCGCCCTTCTTGGCTATTTATGCCAAAGACATGATCCTGGTGCAATATCTGAATGTTGATTTGTTTCTTATCTGTATTCAGCAAATATTCATTGAATAATTAAAAGAATATTTGTAACCAATTGATATTTCACATGTAAGGTTTTCTCTTACAGCATTTGAAAATGTTGATCATATTGTGTTTCTTGTGTTACCTGTTTTAACAGTTTATCAGTTCTTGTCAAATAGCCAGCGAATATTATCAACTAACATTTTCAAACAATAATATGTTTTCAAGTAAAGAACTATTCTTAAAAAGCAAGTAGTATTGGCATAATTGCTAGGTTGGTCAAACTTTGTTCTTATCCTTTTAGTTTTATCTATAGATTTGAAAGAGATTAACTTGTTAGAGAATACATTTAGTTAAAAAATGTTTAAAAAGAGAAACCTCAATGATATTTTTATTTTTCAGAAAACTGTGGAATATATTTTCCAGAAATAAAAAGAGATCCAGGCAGATATTTACACAGTTGTCCTGAATCTGTGAAAAAGTGGCTTCGACAGCTAAAAAATGCTGGGAAAATTCTTCTGTTAATTACCAGTTCTCACAGTGATTACTGTAGACTTCTCTGTGAATATATCCTTGGGTGAGTGATGAGTCATTCGGTTTTCATTGTCTTATGAAATACAGATAGCAAATTAGACCAGGGCTTTTTTAAAAGTGTCAGCCATGACCATATCATTATTTTAAGCAATGCTGAGTGACAAGTTGATTTTTTTTTTCTAATGACATACCTCAATATCTGCTGACAGCAGCCCAACCAAGTACATTTTAGCAAAGCAATGTTACTGGGGACCAGTATGCTCATAGCTCACCGAATGTCCGGGTTTTAGGTTTTCTAGAAGGTGGTAAACTGTATATCCTTCAGTTTTCCATGAATTTGGTTTCTCATCTTTGGATGATGACTGAGGGACACTGAGTTGTAGGTTATACTCCTCCACAGATACCTGGAATACAGCCACTTTTTAGTCATTTCAGTGTGGAGCCATGTACTTTACTGTTTGACACAACCAGGATGGGATTGAATTCGTGAAAATGAAGGCAGTATAATTGCATAGACTTTAAAGTAAGACAGACTTGACTTCAAGCCCCACTCTGCAGTTTACTGTAGTAGGTTTTATAACCTCTTTAAGCTTCAATTTTGTCATCATAAAAATGGTACAGTAATGCCTTGTGGGTATGAGGGGATACTCAAATAGCATAATACAGGTAGAGAATTAGACAGGAATAGTTGATAGACTTCAGTGTGTAAATACTTATTCTTGTGGAAAACACCAGGAAATATCTATGGTCAAAGCAAGATTCCACAGTGAGCTATTAGGTCTCCCCTAATGTTTCCTCAAATTCCATCAAATACCGAATTGCCGTGAGTATGGAGCAAGTTTGAACCTTAAAACCTACCTTCACCAGCTTTTTTAGCATCATGATTTCCATGTTCTTAGCATGTGTAGCTTTAGTTTGTTCTATGATATGCTTACAATCTGTGAGTAGAATTTCTGCTTTTTGAATAATATATAGGCTGATATATAATAATGCATCCTTTGGGTGAATTAAGGCTAAAGTCCTGGATGTCTTGGAAGGTACCGCTCATAGAGACATTTGCTATCCTAGTAGTGGGCCCACTAACTAAATTTAGATGAACAAAAATGAACTTTAAAATGAACAATTGAGATTTTAATTCCTTTTTTATTAGCATAGATAGCTGTAGTCTTTCTTCATCTCAATTTCTATTTATTGCTGTTTGATTCATAAAAGTATTCTGGAATGTTGCATAAATATTGTTTCCCCCATTGTAATAGTGAGTCCTTCAGGAGAAGGGCTACCTTTCCTTTGCCATCAGAAATGATCCTTAATATAATGATAAGTACAGATTTAAAATCATTAATTATTATCATATAAAAGTTACCACATTATAAGACTACACTGATTGTCAGATAAAGTATCTTCTTCATATTTGAAGCACTCTCTGAAAGATGACCATGACTTGCTATAATGCTGCTTTCTGTGGGACCCATGTAACACGCAAAATTGTTAACTCTTCAAGGTAACAAAGCCAGCCAATTGCAGGCCCCCAAATTTGAAGATAGATTTTCCAAATATTTCCAACTGTTAGAAACTATTGACTTCACTGCCAAAGCCAGCTTGGTACCTAGAGTCTATGTGCTGCTTTCTTTTTTTCCTGATTATGTTTATACTTCAAAGAGTTGTCAGGAAGACTAGTACTCAACCACCTTCTATTTCCAATGGAATGTTCACCTTAAAGTGTGAGAAAAATATAAAGCATATAAAAGTTAATCAAAAGATAAATGATGCTGTTGTAAAATAGATAAGCAAAGATCAAGTTCTGTTTTATATGGACCTATTCTAATTCTTAAAATAAATTTATGAAAAATTGTGTTGCTTTTAGGAATGATTTTACAGACCTTTTTGACGTTGTGATTACAAATGCACTGAAGCCTGGTTTCTTCTCCCACTTACCAAGTCAGAGACCTTTCCGGACGCTCGGTAAGTTACATTTGGTTTCTTTCTTCTCCTGTATACAGTCGACTAACAACCTTGTGCAGAGCACTGTTGTTACATGCAATGCCATGTCTTCTTTCCTCTCATGGGGAAGAAAAAAGTAATAAACCTATGTTTGTATTAAATTGTATGGTACCACTTTATATCACAATTATTTCTTTGCATGTCAGCCTTTCCCTGACTTTAAAAATGAAGGGCATGAACTTCACCTTAGTTTTTAGGACCTAAATAAATGCCTCGATAAATGTTTGAAAGATGGATTACTTGTGATAAATCAGTTGAGTTATTTTCTAGAACAAAAGCACCTGCGGAACACATGAAGATCATAACAAATGAATCATTCCTGTCTCTGGGGAAAGGGAAGGCCTTCCTGAAAGGGTATTTAGAATTGTCATTCATGTAGAAGAGACTGATAGGGAGAGAGGTGGAATGAAAGGGATTTACAGGTGAAAAAGAATGATAATAGAGTGAGGTACTCATAGTAGGTGCTCTTGAAAGCTTCTTAAATAAATATATAAATGAATAAAAAGCAGAACCTGATCAGTAGTAGAGAAGTTATAGTTTTTGGGGAGTGAAAGACAGTGAGTTTAGTTTTGATATCTGTTGTATCTTTTATTTCTATTTAAGTAGTTTCAAGTAAGCTCAATGATATATTAACATTTGAGGACCATTCAGAAGTTCTCTTAGGAGAGGACCATCTAAAATAAATCCAGGATGGTTAGAAATTGAAACACAGTTAATGGTTGTAAATGCACATAAATGTATAAAAGATTATTAAGAAATAAAATTTATAGATCTACCTAGAAATCTAGCTGTCTTTTAAAGAGAATGATAAAATTAACATATATACATATTGTATGCATAATATATATAAGCATCTACCATAATATATGATTTATAATTTTACTTTTGATTAATATGCTTGGCATTATATAACAACCTGGGCCAGGTTGTACTGATATTTAATATACATTTCTCTTTACTTTCCCATGGCCACTCATTACCCTGTTCTGAAATAAAATTTAAAATTTTTCATTAAAGTGTTCAGGTGAATCAGACACATTTAATACATTTTTTTAATACGGTAATACAGTATTATTTACTTTGAACTTATTTTTACTATTCAAAAGCCTGATTCAATTCTAGGCATTTGATAGTAGCTCAGTACTCAGTGTTGGGCTTATGAACAGTGAAATCTAAGTGAGGCTCATTGTAGCACATGTCAAGCACCAAGCCTTTTTCTGTGTACCAGACAGATATGTGAACATGTGAGCACATCAGCAAGTACAAGGGATGCTTATGGATTTTAGTACGTGTCATGAAGGTAATAACCACCTTATGAGGTACAGTATATGGGGCAGGCTTCCTTAGAGTGGCTGGCCAGGGGCGCTCTGTCCAAAAAGGTTAGGTAAGGTGACTTGCAAGGTGAGCCCTGAGGGACAAGTGATGAGAAGAGCAGAGGAAGAGTGTTCCTGGCACTCTTCATTCATTGGATCAAATGAATGCCAGGGCCCAGTAGACGATTAGTTTTGTCACATTCTAGTAACAAAGAAGAGACCTGCCATTCTGGCACATGGTCATAGGGTGGGAGGGGGGTGAAGTTAGGAAGGCAGGCACCCTCATAAGCAGTGGAAAGGGGTTTGAATTTTATTCCACAAGTAACCTGAAGCTGTTCCGTTGCTTGAGGCAGAAGAATGATATAAGAGACTGCTTTGACTGCTGGGTGGGGAATGGTTTGGGTGTGGGGAAGGATGGAAAGAGGAAGACCTGGCAACTGCAGTGTCCCTAGTAAGATACTGTGGTGGTTTGGTCCAGAGCGACAGTACTGGAGATGGAGAGAGGTAGATACATTTAAGATACATTATGGAGTTGGAAAACACAGGACTCCATGATACTTAAAGAAACAGCAGATGAAAAGAAAGGAGTAATAAAAGAATAACTTCCAGGTGGTTGATTTTTCTTTTTCCTGAAATGAGCAAGTGAGTAGATGGTGGTACCATTTACAGACTTGGGGAAAAATACAGAGGATAAAGTTATATGGAGCAGGGGTTACATCTATTAAGAACTCGTTTTTCAACATGTTAATTTTGAGATGCTTATGAGTTATGTAACTGTCATTATCAATTAGGAAATTGTATAAATATGCCTGGAGTCCAAGGGAACAAGTCTAGGCTGAAGATATATATTGAGAGTAATCAGCTCAGAGATAGGTGTTTGAAGCCAGGGGCTTATGTGAAACCAAATATAGAGAGAATATAGATAGGCAAAAGGCCTAGACCAAGCCCTGACATTCTCTAATATTAAGGATAGAGAAGAAAGAGTGCAGTGTGGCAGCACATAGATTATAGTATGGAAAATAGTAGAATACGTATGCAGAAGCCAGAGGAAAGAGGAAAGGGTAGCCAGCTAGTCCAAATGCTACAGAAAAAAAACATTGAAATGAGGAAAGAGACATCTTCACTGGGGTGGGCAAGATGGAGATCACTAGTGCCTCAGTGAACAGTTGCCATAGAGTGGTGGGATAGAAACTAAATTGCAGTATCTTGAGTAGTTCATTGGAGGTATGGAACCAGGGCATATGTACAGCTCTTTCTAGAATTTTAGCTCTGAATGCGGTCAAAGAATTGAGGTTTTAGCTGGAAGACAATGTAGCATTAAGGGCATATTTTATTTTTTTAAGATAGAAGATACTGGAATATGCATATGTGGTGATGAGAATTATCTAGTACAGTGGTTTTCAAAGGTGTCAGTTTTGCCCTTCATTGCAAATTTGGCAATGTCTGGAGACATTTTTGGTTGTCACAACTTGGCAGGGGGGTAGAGGCTAGGTGTGCTGCTAAGCAGCCTACAACACACAGGACAGCACCCCCCAACGGCAAAGAATTATCTAGCCCCAAATCTCAGTAGTGCCAAGGCTAAGAAACCCTAGTCTAGTAGAAAGAAATAGGTCGGTGTTGTTTTTATATATTGGTTTAAAGTCTTATATAATAAAATCCTTGATATTAAGGAATAATCTGTTATCAAGGATTCTGATAGTATTCTTATAATTAAACCAGAAAAAAAATTAAATGGTTTTCCCCACTTTACAAACTTACATTTAAATATGTAAGTAAGTACCCAATAAAATTTGCTTTTATTTTTATTTTTGTGGGGTTTGCGTATTTTGTTCTAAGAAAATCTATACCCCTTGTATACCTATAGTAGTATTTATGCCATTCCATAAGATTTTTATTAAAATTTCACACAAAGATACAAATAATGGGAAACTGCACATTAAAAATATAACAAGTTTTTTTAACATATTGGAAATTATAAATGCATTAACTATGTTGATAATTTACAGCATTTTATGTAGTTTTTCTCTATGTAATTGAGAATATCCTGAGATAAAAGGGTGGAGTGTTTAAAAAATGATTACTCTAGAAGTAACTATCTTAAGACTTCTGTGCAGTATTTTCTGTTAGTTGTACAGTACAATTGGATTTGAGGGCTGACATAATGATGTTTATTCAAACTACATCTTTAAATATTATACTCATCAAAAGACTCGAAAGTCTTTTTGACTGAATTTATGGTATGGAAATATTAGGAATCTAAACTTTAAAAATAAGCACATCCTGATAATAAATATACCATTTAAAAAAATTGTTTTACATTCTAGGTTGTATAAAAACTTAGTTTTTTAATTTCTACTTTCTCTAATTTGTATTTCATTTATTTTTTAATTGACAAGTAAAAATTATATATTTATGTTGTACAACATGGTATTTTGATATATATATACATTGTAGAATGGCTAAATGATACTATTTAAATAAGTGTTACCTCACATTTTCATTTTTTTGTGTATAGTAAGAACACTTAAAATCTATTCTCTTAGTAAATTTTAAATATACAATGTATTATTTTTAACTCTACGTTATATACAATATATTTCTTGGATTTATGGATTTATTCCTCCTAACTGAAATTTTGTGTCCTTTGACCAACATCTCCCAAAACCCCTACCCCTAGCCTCAGATAACCACCATTTTACTTTCTGATTCCGTGAGTTTGACTTTTTTACATTCCAAATGTAAGTGAAATCATATGATATTTGTCTTTCTGTACGTGGCTTATTTTGCTTAACATTGTGTCCTGCAGGTTCATCCATGTGGTCACAATTGACAGGATTTCTTTCTTTTTAAGGTCAAGTAGTATTCCATTATGTATATATACGATATTTTCTTTATCCTTTAATCTGCTAATGGACATTTAGGTTGATTTCATATCTTGACTATTGTGAATAATGCTGTAATGAACATGGGAGGTCAGATAGCTCAACATACCAATTTCATATATTTTGGATATATACTCAGTACTGGGGTTGCTGGATCATATGGTAGTTCTATTTTTAATTATTTTGAGGAACTGCCACACTTTTTTCCATAATGGCTAAACTAATTGACAGTCCCACCAAGAATGTACAAGGATTCCCTTTTCTCCACATGCTCTTTAAAACTTATCTTTCGTCTTTTTGATAATAGCCATTCTAATAAGTATGAGGTGATAGCTCATTGTGGTTTTAATTTGTATTTCCCCGATGATTAGTGACATTGAGCACTTTTTTATATTGCTGCTAGATATTTGTATATCTTTTTGAGAAATGTCTATTCAGGTCCTTTGCTCATTTTTTAAATTGGATTATTTGTTTCCTTACTGTTGAGTTGAGTTCTTTTTATGTTTTGGATATTAACCCCTTATCAGAAGTATGCTTTGCAAATATTTTCTACCATTCTACAGATTGCTTTCACTTTGTTGACTGTTTTCTTTGCGGTTGCATAGCTTTTTAGTATTATGTAATCTCATTTGTCTATTTTTGCTTTTGTTGTCTGTGCATTTGGGGATATAGCCAGGAAGTCTTACAAAAATTTCATTTTAACTAGCAGTCTACTGTGTTTCATTCTCCTCTGTGGTTTTAGAGATGAAAAATCTGGATTGATGAA